ATGTTTATCTTCTATCCTGAAAACTTGCTAAACTCATTTGTTCTAGTTTTTTTTTTGTGATAGATTTCTTGGGATTTTCTGCATAGATAGTCATATCATCTGCAAATAGAAGCAGTTTTATTTCTTCTCCTCTGGTCCGTGTGCCCTTTTTTCACTATTGTACTGGCTAGAACTCCCAGTGCTGTGTTGAGTGAGAGTGGTAAGAGTGGGCGCCTTGCCTTGTTCCTGACCTCAGGGGAAACAGTCAGTCTTTCATCCTTAAATCCAGTGTCAGCTGGGGTTGTTTGCGGTGCTCTTGTCAAGATGAGGAAGTTCCTCACTACTCCTACCTTTCTGAGAGCGGCTGCTGCTGTTTTCTCCCCACTCCTCCTCTCCGTCTCCTTCTTGTCTTCTTATTTCTTAAAATGTCAGGAATGGGTGTTGAGTTTTGTCTAATGCTCTTTCTGCATCATTTAATATCATATAATTTTTTTTAGCCTGTTGATATGATAGATTACATTAGTTGATTTTCTAATATCAAACTGCAAATTCCACATTTGCATTTGTGGAATAAAACCCATTTGGTTATTGTGTGTAATTCTTTTTATATATTGCTGAATTTTATTTGTTAATATTTGTGAAGGATTTTTGCATCTGTATTCACACAGTTCCCTCCTTCCCCGCTTCCTCCCCCTTCCTTCCTTCCTTCCTTCCTTCCTTCCTTCCTTCCTTCCTTCCTTCCTTCCTTCCTTCCATCCTTCCCAATCTTTATCTGGTTTTGGTATCAGGGTAATACTAGCTTCAGAACGTGAATTGGGAAGTGTCCCCCTCTCTTTATTATCTGAAAGAGACTCTGTGGAGTGGGGTTAATTTTTCTTTAAATGTTTCATAGACTTCACCAGTGACACCATCTAGGACTAGAGACTTCCTTTTCTGGAAATTTTTATATTACAAATTTAAATTTCTTAAACATTATAGGGCTAGCGCTAGTCACATTATTTATTTATTTTTATATTGGGTGAGTTATTGGTAGCTTGTGTTTTTTATGGAATCAGCCCATTTTGTTTCAGTTGTCAAATTTACAAGTGTGTAGACTTGTTCATGGTATTCTCTTATCCTTTTTTGTCTGCAGGGTTTGTGGCAATATCCTGTTATAGTCCCAACATTGACAATTTGTTTTTTCCTCTCTGGTTTTTCTTTGTCACTTTTGCTAGAGATTAGTCAATTTTATTTATCTTTTCAAAGAACTGGCTCTTTGTTTCACTGATTTTTTTCTACTGTTTTCAAATTTTCATTTATTTATGCTCTTATCTTTATTATTTCCTTCCTTCTGCTTGCTTTGGGCTCATTTCACTCTTCGTTTCTAGGTTCCTGAGGTGGAACCTATAGGTTCCTTTCCTGTTTTCTAATATAAACATTTTGTACTATGAATTTCCCTCTCAACACTGCTATTGCTGTGTCCAACAACTTCTTATAGTTGTATTTTAAATTTCATTCAGTTCAATGTTTTTAAAAAATTTACCTTGAGATGTCCTCCTTAGCCCTGGATTATTTAGAGGTGTGTTGTTCAGTTTCCAAGTGTTTGGAAAATTTTCTGTTATTGGTTTCTAGTTGATTCAGTGTGGTTGGAGAGCATATGCTGTATGATTTAAATGCCTTCGGATTTGTTGAGATTTATTTTAGAGCCCAGAAGATAGTCTATTTTTGCACATGTTTCCTCATCAGGAGATTATGTAGAGGCTTGAAAAGAATGTGTATTCTGCTGTTGTAAAGCATATTGTTCTGTAAATATCAAGCAATTCTTGTTGGATAATGGTGTTGTTGAGTTCTTCCATATCCTTATGGGTTTTCTGTTTAGTTGCTGAGAGAGGGAATTAAAGTAGCACTAAATTGTGGATTTGTCTCTTTTTCCTTTTAGTTCCATCAGTTTTTGCCTCATATTTTGCAGCTCTTTTGTTTGGTGTGTACATATTATCCTCAATATATACACATATATATAAGAATAATGTACACAAAAATGTATACAAATCCTTGGTGGACTGACCCTTTTATTATCATATATTACCCTTCTCTGCCCCTGGAATTTTCTTAGCTCTGAAGTCTATTTTATCTGATAATAATATAATTAGTACTTTCCTTTAATATTTGCATGATATATCTTTTGTATCCTTTTGTTTTCAACCTGCCTGAATGATTGTATTTGAAGTGAGTTTCTTGTTGACAGCATGTATTTGGGTCATGTTTTTAATCCATTCCTGCCATCTCTTTTTAATTGGTATATATAAGCCATATATAGTTAATATTATTGGTATGTCAGAGCTTAATTCTGCCATTGTTTTTGTCTACTTTCTCTGGTTTGTTTCTCTGTTTTCTTTTTCCTGTCTTCTTGTGGGTTACTTGAACATTTTTTTTAGAATTCCATTTTTATTTATCTGTAGTGTTTTGAGGGTGTCTTTTTGTATTACTTTTTTAGTGCTTTCTCTAGGTATTACATTCTTTATACATAACTTATCAGAATCTTATGGTATTCTCATCTCACCAGTTTGAATGAAACATAGGTACTTAAAAGTACTCCCTTTAAGTATCTTTATCTTCCCCACTTACAATATCATTGTTTTAAGTATTTTCTCTACACACATTTAAAACTGCATTAAACAGTGCTATAATTTTTGCTTCAAGCATCAAACATCATTTGGAAAATGCAAGAAAAGAGAAGTTGATTGTATTCACCCACACTTTTGCTTATTGATTCTCCCTTTCTTCCTGATGTTCCACAGTTTTTTTCTTTTCTTTTCTTTTCTTAAAGATTTTTTATTGGGGAATTGGGGGAGGGAAACAGACAAGTTGCTGTCCTTTTGTTCTTCAGTCTAGTTGTGGAGGACGTTGCTTTACTGGCCCATGTTGGTATTATCATTGTGCTCTTCCTGGGTGAGGCAGTCACTCGCTGGCCATTGGATGGCCGCTCACGGTGGCTCACGGAAGCTCATGAAAGCACATGCCCACTGCCAGCCAGCCCCACTGCAGCCTACGCCGTTGCTGGCGACTCACGGCAGCCCAGCTCCAGGTCGAGCTGTTGTTCACCATCTTAGCTGTAGAGGGCGCAGCGTCACTGGCCCTCATGTGGGATCTGAACCGGGGCCCTACTGCTCAGAGCTGGCGTCCCAAGCCAACTCCTAACCAATGCGCCACTTGGCTGGCCCGCTTTTTTCTTTTATAGCATTCTTTCTGTTTAGAGACCTTCGGCCATTTTTTTTAAAAAGATGTTTTTATTGGGGAATTGGGGGGATGGGAACAGCACTGGGGAATTGGGGAAGGGGAACAGACACATTGCTGTCCTTTTGTTCTTCAGTCTAGTTGTGGAGGACGTTGCTTCACTGGCCCAGGGTGGCACCATCATTGCGCTCTTCCCAGGTGAGGCAGATCAGTCGCCGGCTTCTGGATGGCCGCTCACTGCGGCTGCTGGCCGCTCACGCTGGCTGCCGGCCACACACGGTAGCCCATGGCAACCCAGTGCAGCAGGGATTGCAGCCTACGCCGTTGCTGGCAACTCACGACAGCCCAGCTCCAGGTTGAGCTGTTGTTCAGCATCTTAGCTGTGGAGGGCAGTGTCACTGGCCCTCATATGAGGATCCGAACTGGGGCCCTCTGGTGTCCCAAGCCAGTTCTTAACCATCGCGCCACTCGGCCGGCCCCTTTGGCCATTTTTTAAAGAGAATGTCTGCTAGGGACAAGTTCTCTTATTTTTTCTTCCCTGGAGAATGTCTTGATTCCCCGTAATCACTGAAAGATAGTTTTCCTGGGTATAGAATTCTGGGCTGGCAACTTTTTTCTTCCCGCACTTGACCATTGTGTCATTTCCACTGGCTTCCACAGTTTTTGATGAGAAATCTACATTCTTTGAATTGCATTTTCCCCTATATTATTATGTCATTTTTCTCTCTGGCTGTTTTTGAGATTTTGTCTTTGTATTTAGTTTTCAGAAGTTTAATTATGATGTGTCTTGAAATGGGTTCTTTTTCTTAATTTGTTTATTCTGCTTGGGTAAACTTAGCTCCTTGAATCTGTAGGTATATGTCTTTTGTCAAATCTGGGATGTTTTCAACACTTTTTTTTGAGTAATTTCCTGTCCCACCCCCTTTTCCTCTCCTTCCAGGACCCTGATGAAATGAATGTTAGGTCTTTTGTTATAAACCCACAGGTCCCTGAGGATCTTTTATTTTTTCAGCCTACTTTTTTTCTTTGTTGTTCAGATTGAATAATGTCTGTTCTCTGTCAGTTCACTGATTATTTCCTCTTTTACCTCCATTCTGCTCTTAAGCCCATCTATTTTGGTTATTGTATTTTTTTTCTTTAATACATTCTAATCAAATAGTAACAGCAGTAAATAAACACTTTGTAAAACAGGCAGGTATCCCCCTATATCTGGAAGAAAATTAAGTCAAAGTTTTCTACATGGTAGAAGGGAGACAACTGCTGATGTTCATGGTTAGACAATTCAAGGACAAGTTGGAAATTTCTAAAGCCATTTTCAAAAAATCCATGGCAACAGGTTGTGACACCAGGTTAGCAACAGCTACTTCAAAAGGTAAAATGTCTGTATCTACATGGTTTTATTAACAGGGATTAAGTGGCACCTATAGAGCATGACATTCTTGTCTTTAGCCTTAAAGGAAAAAACAAAGTCTTTTCCGTTTGCACTAGTTTGAAATATTTCTGAAGTAAGGCTCCCTTAAAATGGATTACTACAGTACTCACTCACATGAGAGAGTTCATGCATGTAGTAAAAAGACAAATACAGGATTTCATGGCACTTTTTTGGTTGATTTGGTTAATTGCATAAAATGAAGGATAAATACAAGCATATTTGTTCAACAAAACTCCTAGCTACATCAGAATGCAAAATATAAAATGTCCTAAAATAGACTGATCACCAGGCATATATATAAAATTGAAGTTAAACCTGTGTCAGTTTCCTCCCCCTTCTTGAGTATTCCTACATACTCCTACAGACGTTGAGTTCTCTACTAGACCTTCCACCAAAAAGAAAGGAACCTCAGAAAGGCCAGGCATTCTGATAAAATGTTACTTCAGCCTTTACTTGGGACATTTAATTTTTAACTTAAAAGGATCAACTAGTCTTGGTCAGTCTTAGGAAGGGAAGCATTACTCAGGTGAAAATATTTGGGGGAACTTTAAATACCTAGCTACCTCATCACACATTTAAATTAGATTGACTTCAGCTGTTCTTAGAATTCCGTGTAGTTATCCAGAGCAGTCACTCAAGTTTTGGTTCTCTTTTATATAGCTGCATTCGGAGATACTCTAATGTGAGGCATGTTTAGAAAAAGAGAAACACTTATACCTGGAATTTATATTCTTCCAAGTAATCTTTTAGTCTTGTTGGTAAAGGCAGTCCCCAGATGGCACCAGTACATTTGTGAACGGTGAGTCTACACAGATGCTGCAGAGGTGGTGCTGAAGTGTAGAGAAGGTTGGTCAGATAAAGGTGAACAGTGCCGTTCCGGGGGGCTTCTGGGCCCTCCGCTTATCCTGGCACGTCTGCATGTATTAGTCGATCAGATGAACCACACTGTCAAATTGTTTAAGTTTGGACTTGACACATATGATAGAGTCCAATCTGAATTTCCCATCGTGGTATTCAATTTGCAGATTAGTTGGTCCAGCTGACGTTTTTTTGTTTTTTTGTTTGTTTGTTTTTTTAGCTGAGCCATCCTGCCACCTGTTGGCAGCTCAGCAGCAGCTCAGCTCGGGCCGGGACTTGAACCGCTGTTGCTCAGAGCTCACACTCTTGAGCGAGCTCTTAACCAACTGAGCCACTCAGCCGGCCCCAGCTGATGTTTTAACAGATACTGTTAGTAGGTAGTCTGAATGCGAACTATCTCTAATCAAGCAAGTTCCTTCTGGTGCCTCTTTTAACTTCTCTTTGGCTTCATTAACAGTCACACTTCCCCAGTACCAACCTGTTTGACTGAGCTCCCGTCCTTCCTGGAAGTCAGTGGGAACACCAAAACGCGTCCCTGCGGAGTATGCAAAGTGGTGGTGGAGGCGAGCGGGGTTGGTTCTTCCTTCCCAGGTCCCAGGGTAGGATGGAGAAATCCCCCGCAAGCGCGGTCACCCACGGTGTGCCTGCAGCCGGCCCCACCCGAGCTCCTCCGGCGCCGGGGCTGCAGGCACGGGGGACCTGAGGTTGTGCGTCCGGGGCCCTGGCGCGCACTGTCCGCGGCCCGTGCCGCGCCGGTGGCGGCGGGCAAGAAGGCTCCTGGTTATTGTATTTTTCAGTTCTAAAATTTCCATTAGGTTCTTCTTTATATCTTCTATTTCGTTATTGAGACTCTTCCCCCACCCATGTGTTTTAAGCATGTTTGTAATTGCTCACTAAGGCATTTAAAAAATGAGGCTTGCTTTAAAATCTTTTTTTTTTTTTGATAATTCTAATAGCTCTGCCATATTGATGTGGCGTCTGATTGTCTTTTTCATCCAGTTTGAGACCTTCCTTTTCGTGGTATGATTTTTTTTTTAATTAAAATCTGGGATTTCGTGTTGTAATATGAGACCCTGGATCTCACTTAAATCTTCTGTTTTAGATGGTTTGCTCTGACAAAGCTCCAGTAGGGGCAAGACGGTGCTGCCTATCAGTTTTGGAGTCACATATTTTGCAGCTCTGTTATTTGGTGCATTTAGGATTGATATGCCCTCTTGGTGGATCAATGCTTTTGTCATTTTGTAATGTCCCTCTGTGTCTCTGGTGATTTTCTTTGCTCTGAAGCCTATTTTATCTGGCATAAATATAATCTTCCTCCAGGTTGCCTCTGAAGGTACTTTGGGGTGTGGGTGGGAGTCCTGGCTCCCCATGTAGGCTCCCTGACACTAGCCTTGTTAGTGCTGGGTGATGGTGAAAAATCTTGATTTTTCCACTGTTCTTACTTTGACTCCACCAGGGACGGGAGGGGCGTTTTGCCATGTGAGGGGTGACGTCCAGGCTCCCCATGGTCTGTACTGTGGGAGCGGGAGCCCAGTGGGAAGGGCGGCCCTGCTTCTCTGCCTGGGCTTCTCTGACGTTACCCAGCGGGGCGCTGGGAACCCTGTTACGGCCTCTGGAGGGTGGATGTGTAAGCTCTCCACTGGTGTCTGGTGGTGTGGACGTGGGTGGAACCACAGTTTTCTTTTGTAGTGTTTCGCTGGGGAACAGTAGAGAGTGTGTAAAAGTTTTCTTCTCACCAGGATGCCCCTTCCATGCCCTTTGTCTAGACAGGTCAGGCTTTCGTTGGGGATTTTTCTTTTTTTTGTCTGTGCTGTTGTAGTTTTCAGATTTCTGGCTTCTTCAGTTCCAAGTCGAGCACATATGAAGCAAACAGAAAATCAAGGGAACTGACTCTTACGTCATTTCTTGGACTTGGGGTCCTAGCCGGTCTGTCTTTGTCTTTCCACCTCCTTTGGGGCCAGTGAGGGGCCTTCCTTCTCTGATCGCGCTCCCTCTAGGTTTGTTCCATGTCTTTTAGCAGTGGCCTTTGGCTCTCATTCATTTATCCTTTAAAAAAATTTTTTTTGTCATAGAAGAAGCATTTATTATCAGAGCACCGGTCGTCTGAGAAAGCAGCATAGACAGGGTGACATCAAGAGTCCCACAACCTGCAGGAGAGTCTGTCATCCCTGGTTAACACCTGCAAAAACTGCTTTTCCATGAATTTATTCTTTTATTCAACAAAGCTGGTAGTGTGCCTTCCCCTATGGATACGGTGGGCTAAGGTTTTGTGAACTGCATAGTTCATGGAAGAGACATACAGTAATCACCGGGTCAGGGAAATTCGTTCTCTGGACTGGCCTGGCCTTGTCCTGGTGGAGGGGACTGTGTGGGGCAGAGCCTGGGGCTGACTCCCCTGCCCGGGAAGAGACGGGGCTTCTAGGCCATGGTTCTGGGGAGTGGGGGAGGGGGAGGAGGAGGTTGGGGGCTTGGCTCCTTCGGGACACATTTGTTCATCTGCTGAGCACCCACTACTGCAGAGCCTGCTGAGCTCTGAGCTCCTGGCCAGGGTAGGGGTGTGGCTGTGAGACAGGCAATGCTATGAAAGCTCCCCCGTGGGGCAGTGGATGGGGGGAGGTGGTGAAAAAGATAACTATTGCATTGTTTTGTACACATGAAACTAATAATAATAATAATAATAATAATAATAATAATAATGAAAGCTCCCCCGTGAATGGAGGGTGAGGGCACCTGTGGTGCTGGGCGATCAGATTGTGGCCTCCTCTGGGCGGAGGCTTCTGAGCTGGACCTGGGCACCGGGGAAGAGCCTAATGGGACAGCAGCCTGGGAATGAGCCCTGTCCCCGTCCCCACCGGTGGGGCCGCTGGGAAAGGGACCCAGGTTCCCGCGGGGCCCGCCCCTCCCCCATGCTGTATTTCCCTTCACTGTGGGCATTGTCTTCCTGCTGCCACCGTGGCCCACCCGGACCCCCACCCTGGTCTCCCCCTCCCCCCAAGGGCACTGCTCTTCTGCCCACAATACCCGTCCGGGCATCGCATTGTCTTGGGAAGACGTGCACTCGCCCGGGTGGGTTATTATTAGCCTGCGATGAAGTGAGAGGCCCTGAATGGGGGACGTGAGCTCCTGCCTGACACCATGGCTGAGGCCAGAAGGAAATGATTCATTATGGCACCAGGCGTGCTCTAATTTCACATAACGAAGTAAATGGCAGCCGTGTTTCGGGTGCCACCACGCACAGATAGCATTGTCCCCTCACTGCCTCTCACCTGGGCGGCGAGGAAAATCAGAGCAGCTTTTGTGTAGAAAGACGAGGCGCTGGGGCACCTGGGGGCATCGGGCGCCGTGACCCAGGGAGGCTGGGGCGAGTCACAGTTCAGGGGCTGGGTGGCCAGGGAGTGGGGTCCTGGGACCCCTGATCAATCAAGACCCCCAGCCAGCCGATCCCACTTCTGCTTCACATTCCCCACTTCCCTTTCTCGCGGCTGCTTCAGACCCTGCCTACCTGTCCAGCCCAGTCTCAGCTCTGGGCCCCCTCCTCCTGGACTACCCTGCTTTTCTAGTTCTGGGCACGCACGAACGGGGAGCGCCGTTCTCCCTCCTGGCAGCCTGCTGGCCCTGGCTGGACCCTCCGCAACCGTGTGCTAACAGCTTAGACAGCCCTTCCTTGGCTATGACGGTGGCTCCAAGTCCCAGTCGGTGTGCCTGCAGCACGTGTCTCCTGGGGTGGGGAACGGCCCCTGAGCCCCAGGACTGCGTCGCCTAGGTGGCCGACCAGGGAACCTGGCCTGTCCAGGGCTGGAGGGACGGGACCCGACGTTGGAGCCTGGGGTCCTCCTGGTGACAGCACCGGGTCCTTTCATCTCAGCTGAGGCCAGACTCGCTGGTGACGTGGGAGGAAGGACACAAGGCCGTCGGCAGGCTCTCAGAGATGCTCGCAGAGCCTGCTTCCCAGCGAACATCACCCACGCTCTGGAACCTCAGATAAAAGTAATGGGCCAGAGGGATGCCATTCAAGGGCACTTTCGTGTCTGGGAAACTGACCAGAGGAGGAGGCCTCAGGATCGCTGCGCCAAGGAGTCCTGTTTCTGCAGTATCTGCACACAAAATGGTTCCATGTTTAAAAATGCACAGTAAGATTTGTGTCTTTTTGACTGAAGTGACAGCAGGGCCATGGGCAGGGACCACATCCTCTCCCACCTGCCCTGCGACAGCCCCTCCCCTGCCGAGGTCATGCTGCTGAGCAGGCACCCTGGACAGCTCTGTGCTCTGTCCCCCAAGATAAAATCCCAGCATCACCCACAGACCAGAAGTGCTGGGATGGCAGACCCCGAGTCAGGCACTGCCGGGACCCCTCCAGTGCTTTCCTGGGCACCCCACGGGTGGGAGCACATGGCCGGCAGTTTGCCCTCAGGCCTGTGCGTTGTGTGCACGAGACCTGATTTAGATGCCAGCCCTTAAAAATCCAAACTCTGGCTTCTCTTGGGAAAATCTGGAGGTTCCTGTGGGACCGTGACAGAGGTGCCGAGAGGGCGGCTCGCTTTCCACGGAGCTGTGCTCGTCACGTGTTGTGGTCCCTGTGCCAGCCCTGCCCTGAGTGGTGTCCCATGGACTTGGGTTTGCACTGCTGTGCTTCTCACGCCCGACAGGCATCACCCACGTAGGTGGCCTGCCTGGCGCCTGTGGGCATTCTACGCTTCCCTCTCACTGAGAAGTTTCCCGGGGCACTTTGTTGGTTGTGCTGTGGAAGGGTGTGGATGGGGAGGAGCTGCTGAGTCTGCCCCCGGCTCCGCCGTGCACTCCAAACGTACTGGATGGACCCTGATGAGCAAGGTCCTGGCTGCAGGCTGTGCTGCCACTGGGAGCAGAGCGGGTCTCGCCCTGGGCAGACAGGGGCGGGGTGGGGGTGGGGTGGGGGCCCTGGGCAGGAGGAAAGGACGCTGCCTTGTGCCCTACTTGCTAAAACATGAATTTGCGTTATTGATTTTATCTTTGAAAAGCACACTTCCCAGACTGTGTTTGTGTCCTCCGGGAAGCCTGGGCCCCAGGACTGATGGCTGGCCAGGACCCGCCCACGTCCTGCCTCGCTGGCTGTGCAGAGGCTGGACTGCAGGAGCCTTTCCCGAGTGACTTTTGCGGAAGGAGGTCCACTGAGCAGGCTGGACCTGTGGGACAGCCGTGGGCCACATGGCCCAGGGGCCCCTTGCTTGGGGCCGCTTCTGATCCTTGGGCCCCGCAAACCCACTCTGTCTCTCAGGACGTCTGTAGGACACGGCCTTGGCTGCCCCACGGGTCTTGACCTGCCTTCACATCTGGCTAGACAGGGACAAAGTTCTCTTATTCATAGAAAATGGTGGATGTAGGGACTGGGACAGTAGCCACCACCATGTCCGATTTGGGGAACAGCCTACCTTTCAGGTGCCACCTTATTCGTTGGGCCTCCAGGAGAAGACTGGGGCCCAAATACATGAGAGAAAGGGCACATGTGTAGCTGTGGGCGTTCGGCGTCCTGCGGCGTCAGGTGGGAGGGGCTGTGCAGACAGCCAGTGCATGGCACTGTTTCCAGGGCGACCTCTGCGTGTGGCACATGGCACAGAGTTCCTCTGCCAAGGGCTTCTGGAGTGGATTCTGCAATGTGACCTCCCTTCTCAGAGGGACAAATGACAGTGCCCTGGATTCTGGGACCCACGTGTGGCCTTCACTGGGGGACGGGGGAGGTTTGAGGGGTGTAACCATCATCCCCAGACAAGCTTTAGTCACCAACTTGCTGCATCGCCACGGTACCCCACAAAACACTCTGGATCCTCAGCTGGAAAATGGGGTTAAACTCTGCAAGGGTCCTCCGTCTCTCTGAGGAGAAATTCTGACCTGTTCCGTCATTTCCTTCGGAGAACGCTTCCCGATTTTCAGAAAGGTTGCTGTACGGAAAACCAGGCTGATGTTAAAAGCCATTCCATGTGGAGGTCAAATGGATGCGAAAGGTGGCAGATAGCTGCTGGTGACAGACAAGCATTCGCCTTGAAATGCCAGCTGTGTGGGTCCTGGGAGTTGCCCTCCGAGACTCGGGACAGTGACTTTGTCCACGGTCAGGGCCTGAGTCTCCAGGAGCAAACAAAGTGCCTCTGACAGGCCCGGGGTGTCCCCGCTGTCCCCGCACACCCTGGGGCTATGGCACTGTGTCCGAGTGTTTGATGGGGAGCAGAGGATGTCCAGCCTGGGGCGACATCTGCCTGCCTGTCCTCCCTCCATAGCTCAGACCTGTAATACGCGCAGCACGGGACACCATTGCACACCTGTACGTGTAACACCAGGAGGCTTTGTCCTCCTGCTGGGTCAGCCCCACGGAGGCGGCATCTTGTCACCTGGGCCTGTCGTGGCAGCTGCAGCGCCCAGAGCAGAGCCTGCCCCTGGGAAGGACTCATCAGTGTTCGGTGGACGAATGTCCCTGTCTCAGCCTCTTTCCAAGGGACAGTGTGGGGCACTCAGACTATCTCCAGAGGCTCCCACGC